GCCCCTCCGCCTGCGCAAACCCGCCGCCCCTTCATGGCGGGCCTTCACCGGGCGGGCCGGGTGCCCAAACGGCCTTTTTTAAGGTGTTTTGTTAAGGCTCTGGCGATCCCAAAGTTGCTTGGAGAAGCTTTGCATCGGTGGTTTTGAGATGTAAAGCATCTAAATCGCTTGTCCTGGAGGTGTCCGAAACTCTCCATCCTTGCCCAGCTCTGGCTGGGCCTGCGGGGTGGGTGGGCGGCACACCCTGACTCGCCTTTCCAAAATTCATTTTTTTGCCCCGTGGAAACTCGCTGAGGAGCAGTAAGGGTAGGAGAAACCTGCTGAAGGAGCGTAGGCACCATTGGGCTCTTGGTAGTGTCAAGGACAATGGAGAATTTGAGCTAAAACTGTGTCTGCGTGTGCTAAAATGTGTCTGTCACATGACCTGGTGATTACCGAAAACCTTGAAGATTGGAAATTCGGCAAATACTTGTATTAAGCAATGGAGAACCAAAAAACTTCATGGAGGGGCTCACGTTGAGAAGCTCGGTATAACTGTAGGTTACAAAGACCTTCTTGGTTGTAACTCCTGTTCATTTCTGTTCTAGATAAACACCTGATAAAAGAAGAGGATAGGAAGACAGTCGTAAGTATTTGCATTTTGTTCAGAAATCTGGGTAAAACGTACAACCTCTTATTTTAGTACAATCTGAGCGTGTGTGTATTGGCAACCATCGGACGTGGCTGTTTTACTGAGCGGTGTCTGGTGGTGGGTCCATCACTGGGTCTTACTGGGTGCAAACCTACGCTTATCTGTGAGTTCTGTTCTATAAATTGCAATAAAGTTGTGAGGGATTTGTGCAAACGCGTGGTACTGTGTAGGGACAGGTGTCGCTCTGGGGTCAGTGTGTAGCGTTGCAGTTGCCCCATACAACCCTGCCTGGGAAGGTTTTTTTTTTGTATTTGGCATCTCATTAATTTAAGCTATACATTATTTTAAGACAGCCGAAACAAAATTCTCTTAGTTTATTTTAATTGTGCAGCTTTCTGAAAAGAAAAGTTTAATGCATCTGAAGGTTTGAGCTATCTATTTAATGGCTACTGAAGTTGTTCCTTCAGTTGGCGTTTATTTAAAGTTGGAAGTGAAGCTGAAGTCTGGGAGGTGAGCTGGGGTGGAGCAGCGGCCCAGCAGTGACCCTCTGCCACTCTTGGGGCGGTGGGAAGGGGACGGGGTGTGGAAGCGGGGGCAGACAGCCGGCTCTGCCGGGGCACCGGAGAGAGAGGCAGCCCCTTGCCGGGAAATGACACAGTCGGTGCAGGTATGTCAGGGAGAGAAAAAGCGGTGCTCTGCGGGGCGTCACGGCATCAAAACTTCATCCACACCCAATGTCTTCCTATAAAATAATCTATTTACATTATAAGGAAATAGCGTGCTTGATATGGAAAGGGTTTATTTTTACATATGGAGTTTACTACTATACGATAGCACAGTTTTTAAAGGTGATACTGTTTTTCATCAGATATGTATCGAGGGGAACATTGCAAGTGGAAAAACAACGTGTCTGGATTATTTTGCACAAACTACCAGCATTGAGGTACTGGATGTACATTTTTTTGGTCTTTATTTACATCATTAAGCAGTTGTTTGTCTTGACAAAATTGACAGTTAACTTAGAAGTGTTATCCTTTCTTAGGCTGATGAGGGAGGAGCAGCAGGTTGTGAGCCAGTGCACTTATTGGGGCACCTCTCCCAACTTCTGCAGTCAAACTGTAGAAGAGAAAGTCAGGTCATATGTAATATAGTACCGGATGCCCAAATATCAGTAAAACCTGTGGATTAGAGTTATACCTCTGTAAAGTAACAGCAACCCATGTGGGCTGGGCATGTTCGGGCATGCTCACTTGCTGTTTCCTGTCACTTAAATTTTAGATGTATCTTGTAACAAGTAAAGACAAAGAAGTGACGATGTAAAAATACTGATGTCGTATGACTGAGATCCCAGTAAATGGAGGGCTTTTTTAAAAAAAAAAAAGAAAAATCTGTTAGAATTATTTCTGGGGATTTTTTAAGACCATTACGGTATTTGATTTCATATCGCGTAGAACAAGATTAGGGGAAGGGCAGGCTTACTGTATTTTAAACAAAATTGAGATCAAGCCTCAGTGAGGAATTGCTTTTGTGTACATCAGATATTAATAGTTTTCGTGGCAGACCTGGGAGCACATTTGGTAATAAGTCTTAGGATTCCTCATAGAAGTGTTGGGCTGCCAGATGCTACTTGGTAATTCAACAGGAATGATCCTTATGGAGTAAATAATTATTAACCCAAAGGATAGCAGACTTTGATTTGCATACAGTGCAACATTTTTTAACAAAGCTAGTTAACTTCCCAGGCTCATCACATTCTCTTAGGCCTGGCTCTACAGTATCCTTGGAGTTTTAGACCCTGTTTGAACCAGATAAGTCTCTTGTGGTTTTACCTATTCAGGGTAGAAGCTTTTCTGATTAATTTCGTAGAACTTATGTATATATTTTGTTTGTTGGATCACAAAAGTAAAATGAAAAATAATGTGATAGCATTCTGATCCTCTCTTCCTTTGCTGACAAGTGTCGCTCTCTGAGAAATTAATTTGTGAGGGAATGAGCAGATCATTGACATGCAATTGGTACTCGGCTAAGCCATTCTTTCCCTTACATCATACTGATTTTGACTCAAAAAAGGGAAATTATATCCAGGCTCGCTAGGTAATCAATCCAGTGTTTTATTTTGGTGGTTTAAAAATGCTAAAAAGATGTTGTATAGTGATATTTCCCTACTTTTTAACAGTGTTCATTATTACCGTTTGTATTACAGGATTCAGTGCTGTTTTTTGAAGAAGGATGAGCTTTCCAATGCAAGTCCTGAATACTCTGACTTACTGAATGAGTGTTCATCAAAAGTAGTTGTAGACTCGTAGGGTCAAATTACGCGTTTAGAATCTAAAACATGTTTAACGCTGAGTAATTCTTTTTCACAAGGTTTTGACAGAACCAGTGACTAAGTGGAGGAATGTTCGTGGTCATAATATCCTGGTAAGTGGCAGAAATTAATTTTGCAATTAGAATTACTGTTCTTTTAGAAAGACGTGCATGAGGACTTCTTGCCGATCAGCAAAACTGTTACGAAAGGTGTGGTCATGATCTCATGCAGCAAAAAATAAAGCTCCGTGGTGCAAAAGATCTTTTAATGTGATTAAGACACGCATGTAAAAGAAACATTGCATATAAAATGTGGTTTTGGCAAGGACTGAGTACGAGCTAAAGAAACTCACAGAAAGGTAAGCCCTGAGTGTGACAGTTGTTTCTAAATCTACTTATGCCTATTTCAAAGAAGGGAAGAACGTCATTGCTATTAAATTGCCTCAGAAAGCGAGAGGTGGATCTGATCGGTTAGTATTGTTTGATGGCTGAAGATAAGGAAAATTCAGTCCTGTGAGGTGTTGAGAGCTTCTCTTGTCCTTTGGGTAGTTGTCGCTTCCTGGAACCAGTCCCCACAAGGATGTCCCTTTGTCACAGCTGTGCTTGGAGACAGCAGTCGGGGCTCTGGCTGCATCTGCAGATACGCTTTTGCTGGGATGGTTGAAGTGGTTTCTGGTGTCAGTCTTTCCTGCTTGTATGATCACCTCCATTGCAAAAATCTCATTGCTGGCTGAGATGGGTATCTATGCACAAGCTCGTGTGGAATTTGCTGTCAACACAGCAGTGTGGATGCACCCCAAACCACACGTGCCCAAACGTGTATTTGATGCAACTACTGCTAGCATAGGTCATCTGGAAAAGTAAATTCTCCCTTCTAGGAGTTGCTGATGCTTTACTTTCTTATTATTAGTAAAGGGATGGGGCATGCTTGGCTGTGTCGCACATCATCGCAGCAATCTGTGCACTTCAGAATGCTTTTGTATTCTGATCTTGGACAAGCAGAAAAGGAAGAGGTCAGATCTGTGCTGACTTAAGGCTTGTCACCTCAGCAAATAGACACTGGATGGTGTCTTATTTTGAGGCAGATCTTTTCTCTGCTTTGCAGGTTAGACTGTTGCTTGTAAGCGTGTGTGTGGGGAATTGCAGCAATTGGAGAGGGTGGAAGGTCTGAGAACTGCTTGGAGGATCCTTTGGGAAAAACAGTTGTCTGTTAAAAGACTCCTTTTCTGGGGCTCAGACCATGCTTACTGGAACCATGTTTGCATTCCTGGAGGGACTGGGTATACTGAGAGTCTGTCAGTGCACAAAAATAAGAGTAGGAGGTATGTTTTTTTTAATTACTAAACATATTTGAACTGTATCATATGAGCAATGCCTGGTCCTGACTGTTCCATGTGCAGAGTAACTAATTCCTGTTGACTTCAGTGAACATTCCAAGTGCCCCAGGTAGTCTCTCTAAGTACCGGGACTGTAATTCTTCCATCTGCCTTGCAGAGAGCGAACGATCACTTAATTTTTGTCAAACCTGGTGTCAGCTGGTTTAGTGCACTCCTTTTAGCAATTCTGTTGTAATGCAAAAGCTTATGAAATACTCAACTTCCTTTTTTTTTTTGCTGTTTGGCCAAACCAAAATGTCTCTCTGTCTCGCTTCCATCTCTAACCACAGGGCTTAATGTACCAGGACGCATCAAGATGGGGGATAACGTTACAGACTTACATACAGCTTACAATGTTGGAGCAGCATACCAGGCCAATGGTAAATAAACATACTTTTCTTTTAATTTTAAAAGAAGTTGGATGTGGTTATGAGTAATAAATATTTTTAACCTTGTATCCAAAAGTTAAGATGTTGTCTGCCTTCTTCCTTTGGTCCTGAAGTGAGAATGAATTTTTATGGTGCAAAGACATTGTTGATATGCTCAACACCTGCTCCAGGGGCAAAACATCTTCCTTTGACCTGCTCAGAACTTTTACTTTCCCGAACTAACACTGCTTTTTTTGCACCATTTTTATGAGCTCGACTTGGACAGATCTCTTCATCATCACTTGTCAGTGACTTGTCTGTAATTGGTCTCTGTGTAAATATAGCTATTTTGAATATTTGGCAAACATTAGGCAATTTTGAAGATAGTGCTAGTATTCGTTCTGCTGCTCCATGCTGTCTAGGAAAAATTTAGCCTTTGCTTCTTGTGTTTATCCAAAATACTTCCACAAAAATTATCTATTGCTTTTTTCAGATGGTTTGCATCCCTTTTTCTTGTAATTTTTCCTTATCAGTTCACACGCTCTACTTTTTTATCAAGATCTGTTCATTTATCTTTCTTTCAAACATGTTTTGTTACATTCTGTTCTAAATCTTCCATTCCCTGATTACAAGGTCCGTTCTTACGTGGCACAGTTATCTCTTAATGATTGTTCTTAGATTATGTTTACTGAGTTTGTGTCAGGACAAACTTTCAGAAATACCACGTGTAATAGTGACACTGCACATATAATCAATCATGTGCTTTTTGGAAGAGGTGTTTTTTTCAAGATAATAGAATTCTCATTCTGTTGCAGAAGATGTTCATTCGAAAATTCCTGAGGATCGCCCTCCATTGTAGTCTGTGCTTTGCTGTCATTTGCCATTTGAGCCTCGCTGGAGCAATTGTTGCTGTCATTAATGTGCAGAATACCTGGTTGAAAAGAGCTCTGCCAGGGTTGTGTTGCTCCGCAGGGGCCAGAGAGCGTCAGAGAATCTCTCTTCTCCAAAATGAAGCGCTGTTGGAACACGTGCATGACTGGCTAAGGCAGCATACTTAGTCTGTTGTAGTTACTTCTTGGAAAAGTTCTGTTTAGTTGTTACAGTTTTTCTGAGGTTAGGCCTGTGCTGTTGGCACAGTAACACACCTGAAGGTGGCAGCAATTCAGGTAGCAATTGGTGCTGTTGCTCTTCAAATCCTGAGTGGAGTGCTGCTTTTTTGTTCCCGTAGTTCAATTCAGCCGCTCAGTTGAGCACTTCTGCAGTTACCTTTGAAACTTGCGTATGAATAAAAGATTAGCTATGTAGGTGTTTAATAATGCAGTGACCGTAAGTAAGATTAAGAATACTTGTTTTTTGTGGTTCCCACCCTCCCAGTAATTTTTTTTATTGCAAGATTTGGAAGAACTGAAAATGTTATGTATTTCATAATGTAAGGGACATGATGTGCAATATGAGCTTGGAAAGAAACAAACATGCTGAAAAATGTAAACAGGTCAGTGACTGTCAAGTTTTATTTTGTAGATGTCCCCCATACGAATGATGGAGCGATCGATTCACAGTGCAAAATACATTTTTGTAGAAAATTTGTATCGAAGGTATGGTGTATGGTTTTTTACTTTACTCTCTTGGCTTAATTAGATTAAAAAAAATAAATGCAGTCGACTGATGATTTTTCTGGTAATTTGCAGCTAAGTGGTCTGTCAGTTCTTTGTTGCTGTGGCAGTGTGTTTTGTACGGGACGTAGTGCCCACTGGTGGAATAAAACCTGTAGGACATGTGCCAGGTGAGAGCCTTTTTCAGAAGTGCTCTCGTGTATTTAGAGCATCTTATTTAGAACACCATTTATTGACGTTATCTGCTCTCCAGCTGAATACAAAAGCCTTGCTTAAATCAAAGCAAACGCATACTGAACAGGTCAAAACCCATGCGGATATAAAGAATAACGCTGTAGGAGGGAGAGAGCTAGACAGTGTTATCCAGCCTAGAGCCCAGGATTGGCATTTCTTCCAAGCAGGAACTCGAGTGACAAGCGTTCCAGTCCTCACCTGCTATTGCTTGGAATCAGGGGTCATA